CTAACCCTGACCTTTAGGTACTGGAAGGGGCTCCAAGGTCTCCCCAGAGTTTTCTTTTCATGCTGAGTTCACTCTTTTTTATTTCCTAGGCTATTATTTAACTCAAGCAGCTGTCTGTATTCTGTGCTCCAGGTTTTGGCAGACGTGGAAATTTAACCAGGCCTTTGCCTACTTTGCTCCCCTTTTGTGAGTTCCATCAGACAAAAATATGGTTGTACTGGCAGGAGGAAAACTGGTCATGAATTTGCTGTCTGGCTGGTGACTGGGTCTGAAATGCCAGACAGGAATTCTAGAATTTCCTCTGAGGCTTTTCATTCTCTTCTTTTGTTCTACTGTTAATACGGTCTGGAAATAGATGGGGGATTAAGTCTAGGAGCAGGCAGTTCTTCAGACAGGGTCTGAAATAGCTACAGTTTAGAAAAATACAAGCAATTTAGGAAAAAATGCCATTTAAGAAGTGAGTCTCGCTTAGGGAAGTTTGTTTCTCAGTGAAGAAGTGAGTGAACTGCGTAGAACAAGGAGGTTTGGCCTTGCTAAGCTGAGCTCTTCTAAGAATCTGAGCTCCTCAGTCCAACTGTGGTGTCTGATGCTTTCAGCCTCAAGGAAAAATGGTAATTTGAAAAAGTGGAGGGGACAAAATAAAGTTGAGCTGTTTTGGCATCCTGAAGTAAAAAGAAGAGACAGAAAAGTAAAACAGAATCCAAACAGGAACTCTACAAATCCTGGTATCTTGAAAGTAAAGTGTAATTAAGGAAATAAGGATGTTTTAAATTGAATTTCAGACTACGAAACACACTGTCGTAGTTTGAAATTGGCCCCCTTGAGAGTTCGAGGGGCTCAGAGGTGTTTGGGTGCCAGGACAGTGTTCCCTGGAGAGCCAATCACTGTCCATGTCGTTCGCTTCTGCTCAAAATCACATATCACAGCCCCAGAAGCTGTTGGCAGGGCAGTCTCGGTTGTTTTGCTGTTGGTGTCTGCTGTGTGCAGGTGGACAAGGCCAGGGGGTGGCTGGGCTCCCTCTCTTCCCCTCCAGGGGGAGAGGGGAGCCCTGCGACCCCCCAGCTCAGCCTTTGGCTAGAGTTAGAGTCAGCATTTGGAGTGTGTGCTGTGAAGGAAGGGATTCACAGCCCCTGAGGTAAGAGGGAGGAGGCCAGGCCTTCCTTTCCCCCCCTGCAGCTGTGGGACGCTTGGGACAGTGCAGAACTGAACCGAGTGCCTGTGGCCAAGGCTAGGGGGCTTTTCCCCCACTGCATTTAGGCTGGTGGGGGGTGGATTTTGAGGCTCAGCACTTGAGCAGAGCCGAGTGGACGGGCTGATAAATCAGCTCGGTGCTTGGGAGAAGAATCCCAGGAGAAATTGGAGCCGAGCCCAGAGCTCGGGAGCTGCTGCCGAAGCTGACTGGAGACAGCCAAAAACTGACTTCGGGGAATGAAGATTCCAGGCCGTGGACGCTTGATAAGCTGCACTGCAGCAGCCTACGGAGCGAGGTGGGACACGAGAGGGAGAGATCACCAGCAGCAGAGGAGCAAGGACTCAAAGCTGTCTTCTCAAACTTCATGAGGAGGAGAGACTACAACAAACAACTGCTGGAACTTGGTGAGGAGGGAGTGTTCAGGAGCCCAGAACACCCCCACAGCAAAAGACTGTGTTACACATCAGCCTTAAAGGCTGCTCCTGGACTAAAGTTAAAGGAGGGGCTTGAAAGGACTGACTGATAGCAATGTAATATATATATATATATATAGTTGCCTTTAGTTTGTATAGTATTTATTTGTGTAAATAAATGTATATACTTCCCCCTTCCCCTACAGAAGCCTCTGGCCTGAAAGTTTCTCTCCGGTGTTAGGATAAATTGTTGAGAAGGGGTGGGGGAAGCTTGGAAGTTGGATTTTAGATTTTTAATGTGGCTCAAACTGTCACACACACTCTATTGGTTTTATAGTTTGTGGAATCATACATAAAATTCTTAAGAAAATAAGATAATGCAAATACTAAAGGATTCAATTCCTTAAACTCCATGAAATTATAAATCTGAGAGAGACCCTTAGGCTGGTAATGCAAAGTGTCACACACAAGCTGGGAAAGTTTATTGTCACTCGCTCATAGCAAGCAATTCTGTTTTATGGAGCACTGTTTAAGTGTTCCCTTCTTAACCCAAACTGCCTTCCATCACTGCAGTGGGACTCCTGACATATGAAGTTATTCAGTGACTGTCCCATTTATTTCCATTTACTCTGTGCTGAGTGGTCACTGCCAAACACTCCAGAGAGAGCCCCAAAGGAAATATATGGGGTAACTATTGAATAACTTTATAGAACAGGTGGGCTTCAATGTAATAATAGTTAATAGCTCATATAAGGTAAAAAATAATGGGAGGAGGAAACTCCTCTTGAAAAATGTAAAAGGTGTGCAGAGCCTGAGGTTATCCCAGTGGGAAACAGTCAAAGGGGAAGTGAGGAGGGTACTGGGAGGGGAGGGAGATGGAGAGTGAAGTCACATCAGAGAGCTTTTGTGGAAACATAGTGGAGACAGTGGAGGAAATGTCCCAGCTTCCTTTTAGGGCCAGTTTGCAGTTTTGATAGAAAACTAATAAATGAAGATGGTGACTGGTAGGAAAGCAAGTTTGACCCCAATTTGTGGGGACCTAGAGCTGAACTGTTAAGGATAAGGAAATGTAAATTCTGTGAGAATAGACTGCCAGGTTTAGGGGACCTGTGAGCAGTCACATCCCCTGAGACCTGGAGGAGTGAAGGTACTGAAAATACCCCGGGCAGCTCATCTAGGGGAGGACTGGACACCAGCCTTTCAAAACTGGGCAGCCTGAGGGATTTATTGCTCTGCAGGAGAGGACATATAGAAGAGGTGATGAGGAATGACTTTTTGCTGGGGTAAATTCCATTACAGAATCTCCAGCAGACACAACTGGGATGAAACAAACTGTCCTTTCTGTAAGCTGGATTTTTTCTTGAGGAAAAAATCTACTGAAATGAGGAATGAGCATGATGGGGAGGGATAAAATCTCAGTTGTGGTATCACGCCAGAGTTCAGCCGGAGAGGCTCAAAGCCAACATAATTAGGTTGCTTTTGCCCTTTTGTAGATGCCCCTTGGCTTTTTAACTGCAAAAGCAGTACAGGACCCTTCCAGAGGCAAACCCTGAGGAACCCTTCCAAGCTGCAGGTTTACAGCACATGCACTCTCCTTGGGATGGTTTTTTCCTTACTTAGAAGCCAAGATGCAAGAAAGTGACTGTTTGTTACCATTTGGTAAACACGCAATAAACCAAAGTGTTTGCAGAGATTTCAAGCACTGAATTTGTGCTTGTAATTTTTAAAAGGAAGGTTTGCGATTGTGCTTTATCTTTTCAGGTTTTGCCATATAGGGATTTTTTTTTTTTAGCAAATCTGTTCGAACTGGGTAGATGTTCCCTGTACACACAGTACATCACCCTGTGGAAGCCCACCTGCTTTTGAGGTAGGGCTGGAAATTTCTCAGTCCCACTGATTTCAAATCACATATTTATAGAGAGTTGTATGAAATATTTAGCAGCCTCAGCAACACTACTGACAGGCTCAGGGCAAAACATGAAGGTAAGAGATATAAGAAAAAAATCAATTGTAAGGTCTTTCAAGTGCTTTGCATTGCCTCTGACTTACAGCAAGAATTTGGCTGAGGGCTGTTTTTTGATCCATCCTGAAGAAGTGTAAGTCTGATTTGGTCCATATGAATTACTTTTTGGAGTTAAAATAATCAGCTTTTATCACTGAAAAGTTAATTGGTTTATGCTGATGTATCACAAATTATTCTGACACAGGCATTTCTTAAAGAAATAATAGTGTTTACAGGATTTGAAGCTAACTTAGCAAGATAGGATTTTGCTGCTTCTTGCATCAGTGAAATGCTGTTTATTTATTCACAAAAACTTCCTTTTATCTCAACTGCATCTCCCTCAACACCAGCTCAGGTTTGCAGTGACATGTTCTGGTTTCCAGTTCCAGTTTGGGTGCTTGGATAAGCTGGGCAGCACTAACTCAGCCCATCTTGCTGCCCCCCCAGTTTGGCATCAGGGCATTACTTCATTAATTGTCTGGGTTTATAGAAATGCTTTAGAGAGTGAAGTGGGAACTCAGTGGTGAAATGATGCTAAAAAGTGTGCTAAAAGTGTACAGTGAGCACAGCAATCTCAAGGTGAGCATAAGTGTATATCACACAAATGCACATGTGTGGAGAGTGGATCCAGGAAATACTGCAAATTCCAGGGTGGAAGGGTCCTGTAGCACAGGAGTATCCACAGCCACTATAATCCTGCTCCTGAGGTGTCTCATCTGTGCACACAGATCCTGCTGATTTCATGATCTCCTGGCATTTTCTCTCTTTGGACTCATATAATATTCCTGGGAAAGCCTGAGACCTGCACAAAACATAAACTGACACTTCTGGTTTTTTAGAAAATGAACCCAAGCAGGGAGTTAACTTCTGCTCATCTCAGTTGTTATCTGCTGCACATTCAGGGCTGGGTTTTGTAGTGTATAATATGAGCATATTCTTTAGTATATACTAAGTAATAGTATATGATGCTCTGGTATTATGTTAGTAATATATTTAGTATTAGTAGACAGTTTCTTACAGGGTGAATATTGCTCTATGTATGTATGTCCTCTCTAATTTATCTTTATGAAAAATGTACATTAACAATATACGTCTATTCTTAAATTCTTCCTCTGTTAAACTACAAAACACCCAAACCACAAACACCCAACCAGGTAAAACCCCAGTGAATAGAGTTTGTTTCATTGTTTGCAAAACATCTATTTTTCTCCTGTAAAATGAAAATAATGCAAATTTTGGTTGCCAACAGGGCTCTGATGTATCACAATTTTTAATGGAGTTGTGTGTGAGCTACACAGTGTATTCTGAAGGGAAAGAATAGAAGTCTTCTTATTCCCCAGACTGCATTGTGGACCTTATTCCTGTATAAAACCATTTTCATGGGAGAAAATCATACAGGCACAGCTGAATGGTTTTATTTCCTGGCTGGCATTCTCTCAGGCAAATCATTCCACATTCTTAAATGATCTACAGTGTATCCTTTAATGACATAAATTCAGTGGGATCATTTAGGAACTCTGCTGCTTTAATTTCCGTGTTTGACACCTGAACGAAACAGCAAAAGCATCTTGAAATCAAGCTATTTTTGTACTTTTGTCCCCAGGAATTATTTTATTGCCGGTTAAAACGTTGTGTGGCACTGTGATTAGGCCCAGCTTTTGACACTAATTTTCCTGCATGTGGGGTCTGGCTTTGTGTCTGTTCAGTTGCACTGAGAGAAATTACACTTGAGAACCAAGTTGTGCCCCGCACATGTCTTTGCCAACACAACAACAACAGCTGTTGCACAGGGAATTTTCCAACCCTTCCTTTCCCTGAGAGCCTGGGAACAAGATTGCTTTGGACGTTTTTCAAGCAGTTAAATTTGACTTTTTATGTAAAGTCTGACTATTGTCAGGAGAGACTGTTGCAGATTTCTAAGGCATCTCTGCAATTGCAAATACAAAATTCAGCAGAGCAATAACAAATCTGACTTCAGAGTTAAATAATGTGAATAATTGAATCAGAAATACAAAGCCCTTAAAACTTGTGCTACTGGCCCCCACTGCTGTGTGTGTTTGTAACACAGTCACTGTCACTGGTACATTCAGGAAGCTGTTTCCTTGCCAGGGATAACACAGGCTGTCACAGAAGCTAAAAACTGTGCCCAACTCACAGGGCTGGAAATCTCAGTGGTCAGGTGAGTGTGTTTTATTTGGTGAATCAGGACAGTCCCAGAGCCACCTCCAGGGATGGGGAGGTTCCATGGAGACGGGCACTGAACCCTCACCAAGACAGGGCTGGGAATCAGCCGAGGAACTGCTGCTCTTCCCAGGGGAAGTGCTGCCCTTCCCAGGGCACCACAGCTTGGATGCAGGGCCGGATCCCTCAGGTGCTCTTGGGCAGTGTGGGGTGGCTGAGCTGGCCAATGTCCCCCCTCTGTGTGGTGCCCAGGGGGTGCTGGGCTGGGCAGTGTCGCTGGTGCTGCGGCTCAGCACGAGATCACCAGGGCGTTGGACAGGGACTGGGGGCTCTGCCCCTGCTCCACAGGCTCCTGGTGCAGGAGTTCACAGGCTGCCAGCTCCTGCTGAAGGGTATCCAGGACTTCAAATAGGTGAGCTTTGCCTTTCAAGAGAAAATTGCAAACATTACTATTTGAACAAAGACAGAAAGTTGAGTTTCACAATTGTAACAAGCTCTTTTCTTCACAGGTGACATTTCAAGTAATTGTCATAAAATGTCTAAATTTTGCTACCAAATAATGAATTCCTGTCCATTAAAAAATGAGAGCAAAACTGTGCTTGACTCTTTTCTCTACTAGTTCTCTTGCTTCATACTCTGCCCACTGAGGTCTCCTATATGGTGTGAACAAAGACTATTTCATGTCACAATTGAGAGCTGCCATTCCAACCGTCCATTTGGATGGTCAAAGAAAGATGTTTGATTACAAAGACTTAGGAGAGCTGCTTAACTCCTGTCAAGTGCAGAGCCAGACAAGGGAAGCAGAGAGGGTGAGCTGTTCGTGGCAGTGGTGGTGCAGAGTGGGCAGAGAGCCACGCTTGGAGGTTTAGGAGCTGAGCTGTGCTGCTGTTCCAGAGGGGGGAGCTTTGTTTCAGCAGCATCACTTGGAGTCCATGTTCCTGTGCAGGGTAAGGAGCAGGATCTTCTGGACATTGTGTGCTGTGGATACAAACAGTCTCCTGTTCTCACCAGGAGAGCATCAGACCTATAGCTCAGTTCCCCTCTGTGTTGGTGTCCTGGAGTCCTTTGCCTTCTTTTCTTTGCTTTCTCTGTGCTGGAACAGCACAACCTGTGCCCTGGATTTCTGGGCAGGAGTAACAACATGGCTTTGAAACTGAAAAACCCAGGAGGGTTTGCTAATCCCTGTAAATAAAATTCTCCAAATCTAACCCCCCAGGCCTTATCTGGTCTTTTATAATCTTGTCTTCAACTCCTGCCTGCCTATTAAAAGCACCTCCAAGCCATGTTCTTGGTACAGGATGTTAATTTCTTGAAGGTAAGTACAAATGTTCTGCTAACAGGAACAAAGTAATCAAACCTCCGCCTCGGGGCTGTGATCCCTGTGTGGCTCCTGCAAAGGCAGCTCTGGCACAACAGAGCTCTGTCAAGGGACAGAGTCTGCAAGTTTAATCTTCATAAGAGGAATGCAAAAGGTTATTATTAGAGGAGTGCAGGTTTGATCTGGTTTCTGTACAGAACTGTTCTGATTTGTGTATCTGGTTTGTGTGGCAGCAGAGGAATTCAACACAGTGGGACAGCAAACCCCATAAATAGCTACCTTACATACTTGGTTATGTTTTCCACTTGCTCATATCAGTGAAGCTCTACAAACATTAGTGGGGTACTGAGTTGCTCTCCTAAGGCAAAATTCTGCCTAAAATTTGTCTAAAAAAGTGCCCTGGATGTTTTTAATGTGTCACAGACTAGAAAGCATCACTTTCTACAGGTACTCTCCTTGCATAGTGCTTCATTCTCCCCAGCCTGTAGCCCAGTATTTGAAATATCTTTTTCTTCTTCATAAGTGTATTATCTGGTATTTTTCCCAAAAGGACCCTTTTGGTCCTCACACATGATTTATTTGCTTACCAGGTTGAGGGGTATGGCAGGATTCCAAAGTGCTCAGCAACATTTTCCCCAGGGCTCTCTTGGAGATGTTCTGTAAAAAACCAAAACAATGTTATGGCACAAATATGTCCTACACCAGTTTACATGTATGCAACAAAACCTCTGTGCAGGGCATTTGCATTGGAAAAGTGAATCAAAATGAAACTGAGTCCTGAGTAACACAAGACTTGATATTTGCTTTATTTTCAAGCATTTTTATCTTAGACACTGCTCAAATAATAGCAGTTTGTGGAGGGCTGCACTTCATTCATATGGTTGTACAAAAAGAGAAATAACAACTGTTCAGTGGAAAATACAGAATTTTCCAGAGCTGTGTCTAAAGAAATCTAGAAGGCAAGAAATGTAAGCAGGGCTTGTTGAGTCTCTGCCAGGCCTGGGGTGGGATGAGAATGGATGGACCCGGTGGTGTCACTGCAGAAAGGGGCTGCTCGGACCCTTGGGAGCCAGGCTGTGTATGTCAGGGGCAGTGCCACCCTGGGATTCAATAAATATTAACCAAAGTGAGAGCATCGTAAAGACTACTTAGGATTTGGATGGTCTTTTCCAGTGGTAGTTTTACACAAGAAATCTGTTGGGACATTACATCATGTGCCTGGGAAAGCAGACCCTCCTCAGGTGCTGTGGAGACACTGCTGTGTGCTTTCTGGGAGATGGGTTGGCAACCAGCTTCATTAGAGCCTGGATCTGCAGGGACGGTGTTCCCGTTCAAACTCCAGGCAGTGGAGATGGATGGGAGCAGTTCTGGGAGAAAGCTGCTGCATGCCCTGCAGCACAGGCAGCGCTGGCCCTGCTCACTGCCACCCGTGCTGTGCCCTCTGCTCGGCTGCCCGGGCAGCTGGGCACACTGCAGGGCACTCTGTGTCGGGCTGGGCTCACACGTGGGCTCTGCAGCACAGGGGGAGCTTCAACAGTCCCACCAGGGCTGTGTGTCCCTCGGGACAGTCAGTGCTTGTGGCACCTCCTGCTGCAAGGGAGGGGCTTGGGATATTCAAAACATGAAGGTGAATGTGGTGGGGAAGTGACACCTAAACCCACAGGTTCTGATGGATAAGCTTTCTTTTGTCTGAAGTACATCCCATCAGGGGCAGGGGATTCTTGTTAACTCCCCAGGGGATGCTGTGAGTGACCATGGTGGCTGCCAGCACCATCTTGTGGGGTGCTGTGGGAGCTGGCAGCACACAGCACCTTGCCAGCAGGGGTTAGCAGTGGGTGCTGCTATCATTGAGATAGGGCACGTTGTGTGATGGGCTGCCCCCTGAGCAGAGATGATTTGTAATATTACAACTGACCAGTGAATGACAAGTTGAAGGCCTGACACAAAAGGTTATTATGCTTGTTGCCAGTCATAGTCTTCACTAGTTTAATCCTTCACTGGATTCTTAGTGACACACGTGTCAGACTTGCAGTATGAAAGTAGAATTTCCATGTCAAGTGCTAAAGAAGTGACAAAATGATGAGGGATTGCACTTGGTCCTTGGATTCATCAGTGGAATATTAATGTACCTCAAAGTAAAGTGATGGTCTGAGGAACCATTCTCACCTCACACAGACTGGGCAGAGCTCTGCTCAAAATTGATTATCCAAGGAATCAGTTTGTGCCTGTGCAGTGCAGCTCCCAACATACTCAGTGTCCTGCAGATTATCCAATTTTCCTCTCTTTGGGTGAGCCTTAGCCATTATCAGTCTCATGCAGGAGATTTAAACTTCTCTTCTAAAGGGCTGAACTGCTGTACTGGCCATGTACTTCTGAGGTGTTATTGCATCAGTTTTGGTAAGTTCATGTTTGGATTATTAATTGGATAAGAAACTTTGTTCAAAAAATACCTTATTCATATATAAAAGAGGGTTTTATCCCTTTAATACTGACTCAGTCTTACATTAGGATGCAGTTAAACAAAGGTCCTGTTCTAGAAGGAAAAATAAATCTGTTAGAATTTGATTCCTCACTTTTTTGTTTTCCTCATTTCCTCTAAATATTTGTATAGAGGGTAACAAGCCTTGAGATTCAGCTTCAAGGAGATATTGGGGCTTCTCTTAGAAAGTCAGCCCTAGCTTTCTGCAATCACCAGGCACTTTCCAGGGTAAACACATGTAAGAACATGTCCAGGCGTAAAGGATTTTGCTCTTAATAGAAGGGATGAACATGCTTTTTAGTTTGGGAAGGACATTATAAAAAGCAGTTCTAAGGACACTATAAACCCCAGTTTTAAGTCTCAGAACTGCTTTCTTGTCATACCAAGTCTCGGAGCTGTTGAAGAAGCTGTAAAACATCCATGAGCTTTTCTTCCACCAGCGACAGCCTCACTCTCTCCGTCTCCAGCATCTGCAGCTCCATCTTCAGCAGCTCGGCCTCCTCCACCTTCTGCTGCAGCTCCCCCAGCAGTGGTCCTGTCACCTGGACAAGGACACAGGCAATTGAAAGCACTGGAGCTTTTCCTTTCTTGCCCAAGAATTGCCAAGCTGAGTTTACCCCTCTGTGTGGTAAGTGCCAGTTCACTCCAGAAGAGTGTCTTGAAAGGAAGGACATTTCTTTAACATCCCCCAGAAATCAGCAGTTGCTGGGAAATGGATACTTTGCTCTTGTGCACAGTGGCAGTTCACTCAACACTGGGTATAGGCAGATCATTCAGGAGTTTTAAATACTACCACTGGTATTTCAGCTTCCTAATCGTTTTCATTCCCCTTGTCCTCCATAAAGCACAACCAACTTGTGTGCCACATGGCAATTACATTCAGTGAAACAAGAAGGTAATTAATTAGCGAATGGCTTTAAAGTATTTTGGTAAAAGAAGAAAAAAAAGTGTCTTAAGGAAAAAAAAAAGATTTTGGCTCTGCTAAACACTGGCAACTCGTGCTTGGCCCAGTGGTAATTTGCAGCTGAGCACAGAGAAGTCCAAATTCGACAAGACTTGGACACTTCAGAAATTCTGGGCAAGAAGAGTCTCCTCAGACCTGGACCTTCCAAAGCTGAACTGACCTGTAATTTATCTCAGACCTCTCTGTGAAAAAATGTTCAGGTTTGCTTTTTCTTTCAGTGTAAAACCTAAGTGACATATTTTGAACTACAAAGCTGCCACACCACTTGCAACAGTAAATACTTTTGTCTGTCACAGACCCAGGCCTGTTGCAGACACATGGCCAAATTGCTAAAAAGAACCTGAAAAGCATTACTTGAAAAATATAGCACTTAAATTATTAATTTTAAATCATTGAGAGCACTGAGAGATTTCAGGTTTGTTAATAAAAGTAAACCTACCAATCATTATTGTGCCCGATTCTAAAATCACACCTTTTTTTGTAGTTTCTTGTTGCAAACACAATCTACATGTATTTATTAATTTTACACTGAGAAAAAAAATCATGTAGGGTAAATGCCAAGTGTGCCGGCTTTGATAATCCCTTTTTGATGTCATCTTTTATCTTCCTTGTAGGTTTAGAAACAAGGAGAGAGTAGGTTTGTGTGTGTGTACGTTGTATCCTAATGAATTTTAATAGATGAGAAGGAACTTCAGTTCCCTAAAACACAAGTGTCATCCGAGTGAAAAAGAAAATAATCCCTCATCCACACCAAGCCTTCTAGAAGGTCATTTTAGTCTCTGACAGTGCTGATGGTGTGTGTTAATTGGCACTTATTCCCCCATCAGATGGAGATCAGCTTGTTCCATTAGCTCCCCTGCCCTCTCCATGCCCTGGGAGCACTGGAGCTCCTTGGAGCGATCCAGAGGTTTGGATCCCTTCCTCTGGCCCATCTGCCAAGGGGTGATTTCAGCAGCCCTGTCTGAGCACCCCCTTCAGAGGAGTGAATTAAATGTGTGCTTTCCCTTGTCACAGTGCAGATTGTCTGTGCTCCATAAACACCACCCGGGAAGGGGCTGGAGCACAAACCTCAGGAGGAGCAGCCCAGGGACCTGGGCTGGAGCAAAGGAGGCTCAGGGGAGACCTTACTGCTCTTGACAGATACCTTTTGGAGGTTTTAGTAGGTGGGGGTTAGTCTCTTCTCCCAGGTAACATGGAAATGGCCTCAAGTTCAGTTCTGGGCCCCTCAGTTCAGGAAGGATATTGAGGTGCTGGAGCAGGTCCAGAGAAGAGCAACGAGGCTGGTGAAGGGACTGGAGCATAAGTCCTATGGGGAGAGGCTGAGGGAGCTGGGGTTGTTTAGCCTGGAGAAGAGGAGGCTCAGAGGTGACCTCATCACCGTCTATAACTACCTGAAGGGAAGTTCTAGCCAGGTGGGGGGTGGTCTCTTCTCTCAGGCACTCAGCAATAGGACAAGGGGGCACGGGCTTAAGCTCCGCCAGGGGAAATTTAAGTTGGATATCAGGAGAAAATTCTTTACAGAGAGAGTAATCAGGCATTGGAATGGGCTGCCCAGAGAGGTGGTGGATTCACCATCCCTGGAGATTTTTAAACGCAGATTGGACGTGGCACTGAGTGCCATGATCTAGTAAATGGACTGGATTTGGACCAAGGGTTGGACTCGATGATCTCGGAGGTCTTTTCCAACCCAATCAATTCTATGATTCTATGATAAGTTGCACCAGGGGAGGTTTAGCTTGGATATTGGGAAAATTTCTTCAAGGAAAGGGCTGTCCAGCCCTGGCACAGCTGTCCAGGGCAGTGGTGGAGTCCCCATCCCTGCAGGGATTTAAAAGGTGTGTGGATGTGGCACCTGGGGACACGGGTTACTGGTGGCCTTGGCAGTGCTGGGGGACGGTTGGACTTGATGGTTTTACAGGGGTTTTCCAACCTAAATGATTCTCTGGTTCTATTCTGTGATTCTACAGCCACAGGAAGCTGTTATGGTCCCCTGTGCAGGCAAGGCAGTGTCATATCAAATAGCAGAGAGGGAAAAAGGACAGCATTTGTTCTTGTTGCTGCTGCCTCTTCTTCCTCTTCATTTTCACTGCTCCTACAGACCCGTTGTACCTGTGCTTCCTGGGCTGTAGTTCATAAACTGCTTTTCCCAGCAATTACACCTTGGCAGCCACCTGGCCATCTATAAGGCTGCTGATTTCCTGATGCCTGTGTTTCATTGACACACATGGGTGTGCAATGTTGGTCTTTAAATGCTTGGAGGAAGTAGCTCAGTGCACTATTAAAACATTCTCCCAACATGTTCTCCCCAGCGAGGTTACATCTAGCACCTGATGTCACCTCAACACTTGTATTAAGATAATGAAAATAATTAAGCAAAACCTGCTTTTAAAACCTGGATCCTGAGGAGATCAGGATGGTCAGTAGTTAAGCCACAGGGCTCAGAGGAATAGGTTTGTTCTTAGCTCTGTCCACGTCCCTCAGCAAAGCCTGTTTTGGGATCTGAGCCTTGTTTGTGAAATGCAAATATTGTTTTGCCAAACCCCAGCTTTGAGGAGAAGTCAGCTGCTGGTATCCAACCCTCTTCTAAAAGGGGAGAATGCCACAGGGCAAATCTGAGCTCTGGAGTAGTGTGTACAAATACGTTTAGGAAAATTAATAGTTAATATGCAAAAATCCCCTAAGGAATGTAAGATAAAATCTTTCTATTGTGCTTTGCACAGAAGTTGAGGAGGCTCTCAATCAGAGCCATTTTTACAAGCAATGAACCTGAGAAACATTTTCAAAATGGGCAGAAAACAGTGGCAGAAGGACAGAATGAAGTGCTGAACTGTGCTGTGCAATTTATCTTCTAAATCCTGTCCCCTTCAGAGGATTGGAGAGTGGTAAATGGAGCACCAGTTCTTGGGAGGGTGCAGAGATGGTCTGAGGAACAGCAAATCCCCTCAAATCAGTAAATCTGTCAGGCAAATTAATAGGAATGGAGGAGGCACTTGGTGAATCCACAGAAGAACATAGTGAAGAATCTATTAGATTTCTTTGGAAGGGTTTATGAATATGTATGAATAATGTTAACTCAGTTGATAGGGTGTGTTTCAAACCTGCAAAAAGCTTTGGATAAGATTCATCACCAAATACTAAGGAAAAAAAAATAAAGTATTAATTGTCACAGGGCAGTAGCACAGATCCTGCTAGACTTAGGGCTGGTTAAACGATGGGCAGAGCACAGAGACCAGGACTGAGGGTTCCATGATAATTCTCAGGGTCTCACAAGGAGCTGGGCTAAGACCTGAGCTGTTCAGCATATTCAGAAATTAAAAAGGTGAATGTCAAAGTGGTTAAGTTTGCTGTCAATACAATTTTTTGGGGGGCAATCAAAACCAAAGCTGCCTGTAAAGAATTAGAGAAGGAGTTCATGAATATGGAATAGCTCTGGGCAATAAAAGATCAGATGAAATTCAGTGTCAATACTGCAAAGTGAGGCAGGTAGAAAAGGCACACCATGTTATAGGAATGCAGTGATGTTGGGAAGGAGATCCAGAGGGGCTGCAACCTCCTGAACACAGCTCAGCAGCCAGTGCATTGGAATACTAAACACAACTTCTGTTCTCACTCAAAAAAGAGTAATAGAGCTTGGAAAGTACATGGGAGAATCAAATAGAATAACAGAAGTAGGTAAAGGTTTCTCTGCCAAGGCAGACAAGGAATGGGGATAACTGAGGGAGTAGTTCTGGTAGGAGGAGTCTGCAAAACCATGAGGGAAAGACTATTTGCTGGTTCCCAAGTACAAAACCAAGGTGATGGTGGATGCTCAGACAGCAGATTTAAAGCCAACAAAAACAAATCCTCAAAACCTTGCCCTGAGATACCAAAAGCATAGCCAGCTTTAAGGCAAGGGAGGGTAAATCCATGGTAAAGAGCTCCAACCCTGGCCATTAAACATGGTGCTCCATCCAACACCCAGCTCAGGATCTGTCTGTCCCCAGACCACTCTTGGGAGCACATCCTCTGCACTGCTTCTCTTTGCTTTTCTCTGAGCAACTGCAGGTGCATGATGTTGGGATGAACTTTTCATTTGACCCTCTATGGCAGGTCATAAACTAATTGTCTTTTTAATTAAGCTGGCAGTTTGTGTGCAAGCATTTATAGAAAATAATTGGCATTTCTCTGCAACACTACCCTTGGCAGCATATCACTTTATTTTCAGAACTCACTCATGTTTTCTCCATCCATTATCCCCAGGTCAACACCCTGTCTTCAGCAGAAGCTATTTTTAAATGTTGGGTTGTTGGGAAGTAGAACTTTCTAGACAAGACAAATTTCAGAGCTCTTTCATCCTCTGGTTTTACAAGCCTTAGATTGAAGCAATTACTAATCAGCATTTGAGAGTGCTGCCCTTCACTTGCCTGCTGAGCTTATTACTTGTTAGCCTTGTTGTTATTTGTCTAATTCTGAGCCCTGAGCAGGTACAAACAGAAGTATACAGAACAATGTAAAAGGTTCGTCAGGTTCAGAGAAAAGTGTTGGTGGTCTATTTATTAAGTCAAGATATTTATTTGCAAGGTACTCGATATAGAGCAGTTATCAGTCTTCCAATTTACTTTCTGTTGATTACAGGAACAGTCACCTTTTTGAAAGGAATTATTTATCATGTGTGTCTGTTTTGTAGTAACAAACCCCTCCCCTATAACTGTACACAAGTATAAATACTGACTAAATAAAAGTAGAAGGACTTAAGAATAAATTCCTAACAGGCTCAAAGTGATTAATCCTGCTGATATTTAATTCCTGTTGCAGTGAGTTGGTGCCTCCCTGCTTGTCTTTAAACCAAGAGCAGTAGATTCCATTTTCCTTCTGGAATTTTGTACCAAAGCACCAATAATGGTGCTTTTCCAAACAAGGTGCACAGAACTAATATCCATCAGCAGAGATGAAAAAGAGGGCAGTGTGGTACTGCAGAAGAAGATGACTAACTCTGGAAAAAAAGATTAAAAATGGCACTACCTACAGGAAGGTTTTTCTATGGGCTGGTGTTAAGAAGCACAGAAGGAAGCTTTGTGTTGCTCTAAGGAATACTGCAGGGGTAAATTGTCACTGACTACTGAAAATTGGGTAGGACACAAGTAGGATTTTATTCTGGTTTTAATTTTTTCCCCTCACAAATAAACTCACTTAGTCAAGGGAGAAAATTATATGAAATACTGATAAAACACAAAGCATGGTGACATGTAAAGAAGTCGAATATTTTACCCTTACCTTAAATATTTTACTGATTCATAGAATCCTTTCAGAACTACTGAAATCCTTATGCTTTGTTTAAAGACGGAGTATAAAATACTGAACAAGCACTAACTGAACCTTAGGAGAAAGCAGATCAAAGCAATGCATCTGCACTGGTTTTGTTTCACAGAAAGGTTGCTGGTGCGAAATCTGTGTCCATCAGTAGCTGAAGTTTGCAGTATTTAAAGAGTAAGATCACATTGGACTGCTGGGATATGGCACTGAGACTTCTGACTACATGGTTATAAGCTCTGCTGAAGGAAAGCTGGACATGCTGCTAAACCTGAGAACTAATTTTATTTATATTTATAAATATATTGCTCTAGGCCCAAGAAACAGCCAGAGTAAACTGGCTGATTTACTCCAAACGATTCCAAAACACTGAGACCCTGAGTCTCAGTCAGCTGGAGGGATGTATTGCAGAGTTGCTGTGCTCCCAGGGAAGCTGAAGGCCTTAGGATGTGAGGAATTCCATGCACAGCTGAGGAATCCCTGGACACTGCCCGCAGTGACTTCTTTACCTGTCACCATGCTTTGTGTTTTATCAGTATTTCATATAATTTTCTCCCTTGACTAAATGAGTTTATTTGTGAGGGGAAAAAATTAAAACCAGAATAAAATCCTACTTGTGTCCCACCCAATTTTCAGTAGTCAGTGACAATTTACCCCTGCAATATTCCTTAGAGCAACACAAAGCTTCCTTCTGTGCTGGGGTGCAGCTCTTCTGTCTGCAGGGGAGCAGTCCCAGCCCTCAGGGAACACATCAAAGCAGGTACATCACTGACAGGGTTTGCAGAGCCTGTGTCTGACTGTGCCTGGGGCACATCTCATCCTCCAAAGGCAGCTTCAGGTAGGAACCAAACCACAAATGCAGTGCGAGAGGGAAGTGTGAGAGGTTTGAGCTGATGAACCAGTGGCAAAGGGAGAAACACCAGCAAGAGAGAACAGAATGACCATAATAAATATAGATATACAAAAATTCAGCTACTTAAAGAGACATAAATAACATTCACACGCATTACCTCTTCCATGTCTGGTTCCAGTTTTTCCCCTCCATGGCCCCTGAGCTCCAGCTGCCCCGGGAGCTGTGGGAGCCTCTCGGGGGGCTCTGCAGGGGCTGTGTCAGTCTCACAGCCAGCAGTTCTGCTGCTCTCCAAGTAAGACATCAGCTTTTTCCAGGTCTTTTCATCACACCTATATATGCATTAAAAATAGAAGGTTAGTGACACCAATGAAGATGGGGAAGGGCCTTGATTTGAAGCCGTGGGAGGACACTGAGGGCACTTGGTGTGTTCAGCTGGAGCAGAGGAGACTGAGGGGAGACCTCAGTGCAGTTCAACTGCCTGGGCAGGGGCAGAGGAGGGGCAGGGACTGAGCTCTGCTCTGGGGGGACCAGGGACAGCACCCAGGGAATGGCTGGAGCTGTGTCAGGGCAGGCTCAGGTTGGATCTCAGGCAAAGGTTCTTCCCCCAGAGGCTGGTTGGGCACTGCCCAGGCTCCCCAGGGCAGTGGGCACAGCCCCAAGGCTGCCAGAGCTCCAGGAGGGTTTGGCTGATCCTCTGGGGCACAGGGGGGGACTCTTGGGGATGGGCCTGGGCAGGGCCAGGGTTGGACTGGATGGTCCTTGTGGGTCCCTTCCAGCTCAGTATATTCTGGGATTCTGTTAAACCTCTCAGTGAAGCTCCATGGCTGTAAAAGCCAGTTTTCCTGCAGAATTTTTGGCAGAACAGATCCCAAATGAGTGTCCAGCTGACACTGGGGAGGGCTCAGTAGGAGCATCCAGGATTGTTGTTCCCCATGAACAACAAAGGAGGGGCAAAAGGCTCTGCTTCACTTTGCCACATAGCAGTGCTGCTTCTGCCTGAAGCCACAGGACCTTCAGGTCACAACATTGTCTTTGCAAGGGGTTCAAATAGCACCAATTAATGAATTACACTTACCCACTGCTGCAGCAAGGGAGCTTGGCCAGTGGTTTCTTCTCGTGGCCCAGCTGGGGGGCCTGGTCCCCTGCCCACTTCTCCTCCTCCTCATCAGAGGCAGCCTGGCCCTCCACGGAGCGGAACAGCTGATCCTCTGTGGGACACAACAACCCCTGATCCTGTGCTGGGACACAACCACCCTCATCCTCTGTGGGACACAACAACCCCTGATCCTGTGCTGGGACACAACAACCCCTGATCCTCTGTGGGACACAACAACCCCTGATCCTCTGTGGGACACAACAACCCCTGATCCTGTGCTGGGACACAACCACCCCTGATCCTGTGCTGGGACACAACAACCCCTGATCCTCTGTGGGACACAACAACCCTGATCCTCTGTGGGACACAACAACCCTCATCCTCTGTGGGACACAACAACCCTCATCCTCTGCTGGGACACAACAACCCTGATCCTCTGTGGGACACAACAACCCTGATCCTCTGTGGGACACAACAACCCTCATCCTCTGTGGGACACAACAACCCTGATCCTCTGTGGGACACAACAACCCTCATCCTCTGTGGGACACAACAACCCCTGATCCTCTGTGGGACACAACAACCCTGATCCTCTGTGGGACACAACCCTGATCCTCTGTGGGACACAACAACCCTCATCCTCTGTGGGACACAACAACCCTGATCCTCTGTGGGACACAACCCTGATCCTCTGTGGGACACAACAACCCTCATCCTCTGTGGGACACAACAACCCTGATCCTCTGTGGGACACAACAACCCCTGATCCTCTGTGGGACACAACCCTGATCCTCTGTGGGACACAACAACGCCTCAGCAACATACCAACCACCCCAACGTGCTGTAGCTGCTTAAACCTGACACTGAGCCAGAGAGAGGGGAGTTTAAAAACCCCACTGAAACCCCAGGCAGGGCCCTCCAGCATCCATGGAAAGGGGCTTTAAAGGAGTGGCAGGGCAGCTGCAGCAAAGATCCTTATTTTAAGTCTTGAACACTTCAGTGTCCTTTTGCAGGTAATTTGTAGCTATTTCACTTCAACTCTCTTCTTTCTCTATGTAAGTCTAATTTAAGGATAAATGTGAAGGGTTAGTGTGGTGTTGGGGGTAAATTACTGCTCAAGCATACAACTGAATATAGACTTTTGGAGAGGAAAGAGAAAGGATCATGCTAGGTAAGACTGTTCTTGCACAGTCACTGTACCAGCTGAACACATATTCAGAGAGCAGAAATTGGACATCAATGTTCTCTAATTCATTTACTCATTGTGTTTTCTAGGGACAGGAGTTTTATTATATAAATGTAATATTAGACCCATAGCTATCTCACATTTAGTTATACCTTTTTACCCAAAACTAATGTCTCCTCATATGCCAAAAATATTGTAAATGGACTGTCTACACTGTATTTAAAGATACCTGTACTATTATATGTCACTGCTTTTTTAGCTGTATCTTATAAAAGCCATTGCATTTAACTCCTTTTTGTTGGAAGATGACATTTACTGGGATTATTATGAGGATTAGGGGATTATTATGATGCCTGTAACTTACTGGGTATTTATTGGTACATTTAGCACATGAAAAGCACTGGTCACATCTTTATTCTGAACATGTATTTTGAGCTGACATCAGGTTAAACCAATGTCAATGTGATTTTGAATTTTAAAATTATTTACCTTAATCACTGTCAAGTTAATTAGAGAGTTTTAATGAATTCTAATGGAGTGATCAAGTCAAATGCTGTTATTTCTTCAAATATTGAAACACATTTGACCTTGGGTAGCATTACAAGTGTTGTGCACATGGAGCTTGTTCAGCAGAGGCAGGGGGGGCTCCAGGGGATGGGGGCCCCAGCAGAGACTCTTGGGTGAAAGATGTTCTGCCTCACTCCAAGGACACAGCACCTGCAGCTCCAGCTGGAATATCATGAGAGGGACTGCTGTGTGCCTGCAGGGGCAGGGAACCCTTGGGAGGGCAGTGCAGCTCCACCTGTGCAGGATCCCAAGATCCTGCACAGCTCCATTCACAATGAAAAAATGGCCTGTTTTTTCCCTTATTTTTTAGTTCTGGTTTACACTCAGCATAAGTTAATGCAATTTTCATTCCAGTGGCATTCAGAGTGCCTAGTTTATAGGTTATGGTGTTCAATAATTTATTGCCTAAGCAGGAACAAAGCTTGGTTCCTGCAGTGTTGCTCTTTAATTAGAGGATGAACGTCTGTGTGTTCCTGGCAATCCTTACACTGCATGAACCCAGGGCTCAGCAGCACTTGCTCTCTGTGAGGCACAGCCAAAACAAAGGCAGACTTTATTTGCAACCTGTGATACCTTAGGAGGGAACCGTTTTTATCCCTATTTCTTTTCCTGCCATGGGAGTTCCAAGGGGTAACAATCAGAGCTCCCGGCCCGTGTGGCAGCTGTGAGAACTGACCCCACACCGCTGCGGGTTCCTCGGGAGCTCCACAAGGTCTAATCCAGTAAATGAACTGCAGCATCTGGCACAGCAGACACTCAGATGAGGCTTTTGAACGTGGAGGAAGAGGCATGTGAATCCCAGCTGGGCTTCAGGCCAAAATAGCTAAGGTCCTTGTAATGCTTTTTGGTTTTCTTCCCCCCACGCAAGGGAATGTCCTCCCCTCCCACTGAACGAGGGCACAAAAGAGAGGAGCTTTGACATCCCCCTTGGAGATTGAGATGGCAGGGCTGGAACCCAGAGAGGAAATGGAAAACTTCTCATGCACCTCTTTTAACAGAAAGCCAGGATTTTACGAAAATTCTTTTACTAAGCTGATATTTTAAAAAAAATATTCTGCCAGTAAAATCATAGAGCACTTTATTTTTTGTGATATTTAGGCATTTACCTGTAAACTGCCTAATGCAGAATATCTTTATTCCATTGATGCAAGTGCTCTTCTGCTCTAAGAAATTTATGTTTATTAAAGTGTGTGTATAGAGATACAAAAAATAGAATTCATTCTGCATCTAGATTAATTAATTATTTTATTTATCTAGTATACCTAGGTCTAATTCTGGATGTTCACACAATTTTTTTTTTTCTTTGTTCAGCTCCCTGAGTTAGTTTTCTTTTCGGCCTAACTAGTCCTTTTTTATTTGATGGAACAGTTTTCTCTGTTTTTAAATCTATAACCCCACAATTTATTTGTATGAAAAGTTTTTGCTAGAAAGCTCTTTGCACTTGAAATATGGGTAGCTTAGTTTAACGTGGAAACTGTCTTTGTGTCGGCAAAGTGCGTGATTTGATAAGAATACTTGTGGAAGCAGGTTTACTTTCTAAGTCTAACCAGATGAAGAACGTGCTGCAACTTTAATTGTATTTACGTCACTATTTTTCATGTTCCCAGGCAGCTGCTTGCCAGCTCTATTCAATCCACACCTGAAGTCTGACTTTTTTATCACTAAAAACAGTTCCAGTCTGCAGGAAAGATGCCTTGTAACTTAGAGTTATTGCTGGGTAAGTACTTTTGTGGTCCTTGAACTTGATGTGTCCAAAAACATAAATAAATAACTGAAGGGAAGCCAAACTGGGCAATGTTATGCCAGTAGTTAGTGCTAAACAGGTTGGGCCTTTCCAGAGTTACTGGAGCAGCCAGGATGTTTCCAAGGAGTGTGGCTGCACAGAATATTAACTGCAAATAGTTTCCTTGGAAATTATTTTAACTGAGGTTGTGAGTTTTTATTTACAAAGAAATGAAAACTTTGTACTTTTAAGCCCGGAAAAAAAGTTTGGGTGAGATGACTCATATGGAAAAAAAGCAGTTTTAAATCATAGCTCTAAGTAATAAGTTCAGCCTTTTATTAAATATAAAATTATGTGGGAGTGAGAAATAGAAATCTGGGATACAACCTTTTATCTAGGTCTAAGATTTCAAGATTCACTAGGACCGGTTTGTGGTTTGGGGGTTTAATATATTAGTTTTTCTGCTGCTGTTTTTCCCAGTGGCTGAGGAGGGGCAGTGGTGTGTGCTGGGTGTGTACCGTGCTCAGCAGTCCCGGCTCCTCCGGCGGGGGATCCGCGGCTCTGCCGCCCCACGGAGGGACAGCGGGTCCCTGCACCCTCCTGCTGCTCCGGGAGGCTCCTCTCCACCCCCGACCTGCAAAAACAGGGCAGAGCAAGGTGGACTGGGAGGAAATCCGGAAAACCAAACAACCAAAGGATTTCAGCTGTTCTTCTGATACTAAGAACGAAAGAGTACTCACAACTTTTAGTTCAATTTACAGAATCCCAGAATATGCTGAGCTGGAAGGGACCCACAAGGACCATCCAGTCCAACCCTGGCCCTGCCCAGGCCCATCCCCAAGAGTCCCCCCCTGTGCCCCAGAGGATCAGCCAAACCCTCCTGGAGCTCTGGCAGCCTTGGGGCTGTGCCCACTGCCCTGGGGAGCCTGGGCAGTGCCCAACCAGCCTCTGGGGGAAGAACCTTTGCCTGAGATCCAACCTGAGCCTGCCCTGGCACAGCTCCAGCCATTCCCTGGCTTCTGTCCCTGGTCACCCCAGAGCAGAGCTCAGTCCCTGCCCCTCCTCTGCCCCTGCCCAGGAATTGGAACTGCACTGAGCTCTCCCCTCAGTCTCCTCTGCTCCAGCTGAACACACCAAGTGCCCTCAGTGTTCTCACACGGCTTCAAATCAAGGCCCTTCCTCATCTTCATTGCCTCCTTTGGACGCTCTCCAGTGGCTTCAGATCCCCCTCACATTATTTAAAGACATCTAGAACCTCTGTATGGAACATCTGCCCTGGCCATCACCCCTCCCTGCCCCCTGGCAGTGCCGTGGCAGCGGGTGCTCTGTGTTCACCGTGGGCACTCAGCACCCACGAGGGCTGGGGCAGAAATCCTGCACCTGCTCCCTTGGGCTCAGAAATGCCAGGCAGTTTTGACCCAAGTCACCTGAGTACTGGAGGTGAATCAGCGTCAGACTGAGAAGTCAAAAAGAATGATCTAGAAGCAGTGACACACCTGAGACCAGCGAGGTACAGGTAAGAACCTCTGGGCAGAGCTGGCACCTCCCTGGAAATGGTGCCTGTTACCGAGCGCAATCAGAGGATGTCACATCCAGGTGGTTTATAGGAAATGGCTTTCAAGGGGTGATACACAGATCAAGTAATGGAACTGATGAATTTGAGCCCTTAAACGTGCCAACAAAACCTATTTTGAAAATAGTGATTGAATTCAGAGAAGGACAATGGTTGACCTGACTGAGGAACTTCAGGTTACCCAGCTGGACACCACTGGGGCAGTGCCTCCCAGGAGGTTCAGGGTAACTCCTGTCAGAGGAAAGACTCACAATATATTTACGTGTAGTTGAGTTGACAATGTTCTACCCCAATCCAGAAAAGACCTAAGCATGTAAGAGAGTACAAATCACTGAGTGTAGTGCAATGGAAACTCTTACTGTGCATGAACCAAAATCTAATAACATAGAAATTTTCTAACAATTTAATAAACTATTTCTTTTGGTGTGAAATGCAAGTCATGGTGAGTCCACTGGAGCTAATACTCTCTTTTTATGAGAGTACATTTGGCTTGGTTCAGTTTGGCTCCCCTACCTAGGGATATACTGAGGGGCAGTATTGATATTTTAGAGGGAATGCAATGGAAGCAAACAATATAGTTGACAAAGAAAATTAATTCTATGACTCCTATTTACATGCTAAATAGTAAATAAAGTCTATGAAATTGAAAGGCAACACATAGTGCTTAATTTATTCTAAAGATTTTGGGTTTTTTTCACACAATATACATAATATGCTCCTTATTTCCATAAAATCTTACTGAAATAAGATCTATGGAGAATTTAAGAAATTAGACTTTTATAATATGGTAAGAACCTAATATTGCCGGTAGGGGCTGTTGTGTAGTTCACAAAGAATCTACTTGCAGAAGAAAACAAATCAAATTCAAGAGCTCTGTATTGAATTAGGTTCCTCCAAATTCTTCCTAAGATTAGTTTTGGTCTGGCAAAATATTGAATATTCCTTCTACTTAACACACTAAGTAGTCATCAAAAATGAGAGTTCAAACATTTAGCAAATTGGTCCTGCTGAAACAAGTTGTATAACATGACCTTTTGTACAAATCTTGTAAATCCTTCCTTTAGGTGTTGTAATTTGTAAATTCAGCTGCAGCCAGAAACAGGCCTGAGCTGTGCAACAGAGCAGCTGATGCTAAGCTAGAGATCAGTATTGCAGAGCTTTGGTTTAATCCCACACAGCTGCTCCTGCAGAGCCACACCAATGCTGGTTCCCTTGTTGCCTGTGAAAGTACATGAAGTAAATAAGATCATGAATTTAACAAAAGAGTCAGTATTTGAAAACATCAGCAGGGACAGAAGCTGAGCTAAGCCCTGCTTAGAAACCAGCACTCACTTGACCCCCCCCCCCCCGAGTAGAACTGACTGCATGAAAAACCAGTGACTTACTGCATTTGCAATTTATGGCATTATTTAGCTTAGCAACAACTGGATTTCCTGTAAAGCCAAGGGAAATAGCAATCCCCAGAATGGAGCCTGGACAGTCATTCCAGCTCCATTAGTTCTGGAAAAAGTCATTATGGAACAGTGCCCAAATGAAATGCACTGTTAAGCTTGGGCATTCACAATGGGGGCTCTGGGAAGCATCAGAGCTCTGGACAGCTACTGGGGGACATTCCTGCCACAAGAATATTACATTTCATTGTTTTGAAATGTGCTGATTTCCTTCATTGTGGAGACAAACATATTTTTGGGTCCGGTACTCAATAAGAATCCTTTATTATTTCTTGAGCACCCTAGCTGGTATTTAGCAGATTGCTCTCTTAGTTTTGAGCTGCAGCATAATTTAGATCTGTTTGGGTTTCAGAGATTCCCAGAGATGACATTTCAGTGAATATTCATTGTAGTTATGGAGTTGGTTAAGATTTTAACCTATAAAATATTAGAATATTCAAGTATCATGAAAATCTTCTCTAGCAAGTGTGGGTAAAGGCTGTGATGTTTAACAGGAGACGTGCTGGTGGTACTGACTTCTGACATCTGGCAGCCTGGTGTCAATTGATGTGCAGTCTGAGGAACATTAAGAAGTTTGGTGGGACAAAAAACCCCTCCCATATAATTCAGGACTTAGAACAGCAAGCTCCCTCTACTTAGATGACATTCAAGGCAAACCTAAATATTAACTGTCACTTCTCTGTTGTCCTTATAAGGGAAGTTGATGAAATACAAAGTAAAAACTTACTATTCTGTAGTAATTCTCTTGAGAGGACTCGTCAGCTCTCTCCTAATGTGGAGAAACTAAGGGAGCCACACAGATGGTGTGTTTTGTTGAGTCTCTGCCCAATATATGGATTAAAGACAGCCTTGTCTGTCTACTCTGGAGATATTCATCTGGGAAACTGGAAAGAAATGTAAGTTTTCAGCCCCAGGTGGCACAGGCTCTATCCTTCACATCAAATCACATTGTGCTTTAGTTTCCCAAGAAGAAATACAACAGTGTCCCTTACACCTAACTAAAAAGAGAGATGAAGATACAGCCTTCTTTTCTTGCCCCACACATGGAAATTTTTTCAAGGTGTTCAGGAAAGGGGCAGACTTTAAATGTGTGTGAAGAAACACGTGGCCAGGCAAGCTGGAATTTCAGAGCCAGATAAAAATGAAGGGAAACAAAGCAGCAGCAGCATGAGTAAATGTGGAAACTTCTAAAACCCAAGGGATTTTGTATTTGATCAGCTAAAATACCATGTCAAGGACCCGTTGGAAGCAATAAAACTGGAAATTTGTTGGTTTGGTATGTCTTGCCAGGAGTCCAACATTTATTCACGGCAGTGCCCAGGGAAGGTGGCAGGAAGGGACAGCACCAACAGCCTGGTGACAGAGGTAAAGGGAGGGGCAGTGTCTGTGCAATAGAGTTCCAAAAGAGGGATCTATAAACACAGGTAATTTTCATTTGCATCACCCAAATCCAGTTTAAGGCATTAATCTGCTAAGTTTGGTGCCAAAGATCAAGAGGCAGAGCTGGAGGTGGTTTTGTCTGTACAGAAATTGAGAGGGGCGAAGGGGCTGCTAGTGCTGCTCATGTAGCAAAGGCAAAACTTGGCATTTCTTTAAACTAGAGCTAAAAATTAGATGGATTGAAGAAGATTCTAATCAGAAATATCACACAGTACAAGAACAGCATTAAGGATATTAATGGATCTTTGCTGTCTATTGGAAGAAAGGGGCTGTTTCCATCTTTTAGTTTTGCCATGACATAGGATCCTACATCGACTTTGGAGGATATTTCAAATTTCTGACTGGATTTCCTCTGTTTTTTGGTCTTTAAAGCAGATGAAACCACACAGTACAGAAGGTTTAATTTCTAAGGGCTACTTAGGTGCTGTTGTTGGGGCACACAGGATTTCATCCTCCTTCTCAGGGGAGGTGATGGAGGCGTGAGTGGAGTCATGGTGGTGCTCTTTGGTAGCAGAACAATGAAACACCCCATTTCCCCATTTCTCATCATGTGATTTAACCACTAGGCCATCTTTTTCTATCTGGGAGCTCTTTATTTTCTTTAGTGCCAAATCTGCACTCTTAATTTTCAAGTGACAGAGATTTGGGGATTCAGAGAAGAGCATAACAAGAGGGGCCAAGGCTTTGGCTGTCATGGTAAATGCTGAAGGGAGGAATCCTCACTCACTCTTAAACACAGGTTTAATTCTTTTCTCATTAGTATTCATACAGCATCCAATGGTTCTTCATAAATGAGGAGAAGAGTGAATAAACAGCACATTTGTTTAGGGCAAAGATCAGAGGGGGGAGCAGGGCTGGAGGTGCCTGGGAAGGGTTTGTGTCAGCGTGGGGAGGCTTCTATGGAGACAGGCAAAGAGCCCCCATTCATCTGGAGCCTTTGTGCTGAGCATAAAGGGCAGCCCAGGGAAGGAACAGTGAAGGGGGGAGAGTTTGCAAAGTACTGGACCTTAAAGTAATGTCCATGACTAATTGGCTTTTAATTGGCTCTCCTGTATTGTTATGGAAACACCCAACTGCAGCAAACCCCACCTGCCTCTGGTGCCAAGCAAATCTTGAACTTAAATAATTCCTGACTAATCATAAAGTAGCTCCAAGGAATTATTAACTTCA